GACGATTGATAAAGATTTAGAATAACTAGTAGAGAGGCAATAGTTATATATTTGTGTGTGTTTTAATTTGTGCATGTGAAGATTGCTTGGTTTCTTAGTAGTGTACAGAAAATATAACTTCATTTATTTTCAAATGCACTCTCCCTAGTTAATTCTTTAAAAATCTTTATTGTTGAGAATATCACAGATGTTCCTTCCTTCCCCCAGCCCATTGTCTGCCTCTTCCCCCATCTTCCCTGTTCATGTCCTGACCCAGGCCTTCATCACCCTGTGTCTCTGGATAACTTTATCTGCTTTTTGTCTTGACATGAGGGGGAAAGGTATTAATGCTGCTATTATTCACAGCGCTATGATTATATTGAAACAATATAGATCTATTTGCCTCCCCAGTTTCCTAATACTATTTATTTAATTTGTATCACATAATTTTTCACGATGCTGCATCATCTATCAAACAACTCATAAATCCTGACTTCCAAAAATTATCTGAAAGGATGTTACCGTGCTTTGTTGACAATAAACACAAATGGAAATATTATTTTGAGTGCGTAGGAAATAGGAATGATAATTTGTGTTTTGGTAATGTTGTACAGTTTTGATGGAAATTATTGCTGTTTGGAAATCAGATATTCTTTGAGCTCCAGCTTCTTCACACTGCCTCTATTCAGCCTTCCTCAAAGCCCAATGATAATTTTTTTCCTGCTTGTTATGGATTCCAATAACATTCTTCTACCACATTTACTTCCTTATATACTTCCTTAAATATAATACTTTATCAAGTCCCTCATTGGAAATTGTAATTTTTTTTTAGTACAGTCTGTGTCCTGTATATTTCCCTCTAACATACATTCTGTATGCACTAATTATTCAATAAATGTTCACTGAACTATAAAAATATATTTTCTTGCCCAGCCAGTATGGCTTAATGGACTGAGCATTGATCCATGACTGAGAGGTCTCATTTCCATTCCCAGTCAGGGCACGTGCTCAGACTGTGGGCTTGATCCCCAGTAGGGAGCGTGTAGGAGGCAGCTGATCAATGTATTTCTCTCACATCGATGTTTCTATCTCCTTACTTCTCTCTCTAAAAAAATCAATAAAAATGTATTTTTAAAAAATTTATCTTCTCCTACAACAATCAAATTATAGCTTATTTTGTTTTCTCCTCTACTTAACTACTGAGGTAGATCACCATCATATTTTATCTGCATTATTAAGCCTTTTATAAGAGGACTAGCAGATGCCTCAGCATTTTTCCCTGGGCCTCGATATATTTGCTCTTTTTCTTGAACAATTTCACTATTAGACTTTATTTAATTAGTTTGTTTTAATTCATGTTAAAGTACAATTACACCTGCAACTCTTATTAGTTTCTAAGACATTGCCAATAATAAATTTGAGATCAATTCTGAGAGCAAAGTTTGAAAGGAAAGGTAAACAAATATTAGGAAATTGTCAGTGTCTTGGCATAGGAAAAAAATGAGAATTACTAATTAATGGGTATAGGGTTTTATTTCAGGGTGATAAAAATATTTTGGAGCCAGATGAAGGTGATGATTGCAAAATACTGTGAATGTACCAAGTGTCAGTGAATCATATAATTTAAAATGGTTAATTTCATGTTATATGAATTTTACTTTAATAAAAAGAAAACAAAAACTGTACAAACTTTTAAATCTTTTCTAACAAAAAGTAATGATTCACACTTGTGTGAATTTGAGAGGATCAATGATAAGGGTGATGTTTCAATATCTTCTTGTCCAAATCTGGTCTGAATTATATATTTTCTTTTCCAGTTACTGGTATTACCATCATCAGTCATCAGTGGCAACTCAGTACACAGTGTATCTGGAGGTGTATTCAAACTCTTCATATCCCAAAATAAAACTAAAATCAACATGGGAGATTGTGCCTCCCAGGCCAGAAACTCCCAGTTCCCATCTATAGAAGTGTAAATTAGAAGCTCCTGGAAGGAGCACAGGTTAATTACATAACAAACAAACATACAAAAACCCAGAAAAGCAGGTTTCAGGCAAGAGGGGAACAGCAATTGACTGCATAGTTCCTTTTTCTGGGACCAGGATGGGTTTGCAAAGGAATTTTATTTACTGTTAAACAATATAATGCTGGCAACTCTGACCTATTCCAATTAATATATCTACTGGTTTCTGGAAGCAAGGCAACAGGATTGTTGAATAATTGGATTTAGGGGAGAAACCAAAAGCAAGCATGGGATTGCTCCAAGGGCATTTCCCCTCCTCCTCAATAGTAGTCTGGGAGAAGTTGAAATTACCAAAAAATGGAAACCATTTAAGGCCCTTATAGATGACCTATGGCTGAACCCAGTCCAAAAGGAACAACAAGGTTTCAAATGTATGAATGTTACTAAGGCAGAAAGAACACAACCATGCTAACAGTGATTTTAGTTCAGTGAGACGTGAGACGGGTGTCAGACACAAATCCATAGAACTGTAAAATAATGGTTTTATATTGTCTTAAGCAACAAAGTTTCTGGTAATGAATTATATCAGCAATAGGAAACTGAACATTTTCTTTTTTCATATGACTTGAGGTAGCTATCTCCTTATCCTTTAAATCTACTTTTTTTTTTCCATTTACACCTTTACTATGTTGTTCTATGATTCATTACATTTTGGGATCATAGAAATAAATTAATAAATACTTCCCATTTATTTCTAAAGTCCCTCTAATTCATTTTCCATACCACAGTCAGAATTGTCATACTAAGAGAAAAAGCTAAGTATAAATTACTAATAAATACCTTCAATCATTCTTATCACCCTCAGGATAAAGTCCAATACCAGTCTCTTCATGATCTAGTTCCTGGACTCTGTCCATTTATTTTCCACTGATTTATGGTCCAAATGTACATGAAATTTCTGCAAAACCACCTATTTTTTTGTATATTTGTATATTAGAGAATTTTCCTCGTTTATACTGCAACTTCTACATAGCATGTGTTCATTTTTTTTATATCAGTATAAATACTATCTTTTTAGGGAGTCTTTTCTGAACCCAAAATATTAGGATTTTTATTGCTGTTTGCTTTTGCTGCCTTTGCATTCATGATAATCTCAGTTATAACATTTATCAGTCTATTGAATGGTGTGATTTAGGTTTGATTTGTAAGTATCCTTCACCAGATTGCAACTCTCGTGATTTTTAGATCAGCTATAAGGTATTCAAAAATAATATGTAATTCAGTGAGTAAATATAAGCATTCACATTTTGCCCATGTGTACACATACATGTGCCTGTGTTTTAATCTTTATCAGTATTTCAATGTTTACTTATTGTAATAGCCACCTTATTATAACTTTAAATTGGTTGCATGTCACTGATATCATTTTTATTAAAATCTTATTCCTATTTTAAAAAGCAGTGTTACTGGATGATATGGAGAATGTCCTCAGAGTACTGCCTGGTGTAAATCTCAATTATTCACTTATGACTACTCTGTTGCATCCAAAATAATGAATCTGGTAGCTCCCATCTAAATTGTAGGCACACTGCCTGGGAGGAATTAACCAGCTTTTAGACGTTTGCCTTGCAAATCCAGACCTATTAAATGACACAGAATGTCTCAGCATGTCATACAGTAATGCAATTATCACTGACATTAATTAGTACATTCTAAATTGCCCTTTTAATCATGTCTTTAAAGAGGAAATTATGATTACTTTCTGCTCTTTATCATTTATCTCTTCTCACTCTATTTGAAGAAGCAGTGTCTGGGTCCAAAAGAATAGTTATAATAAAGCCATCAATGAATATTTTAGTTAATAATACTTTTAAAGTTCTCCAGAAAAGCCATATAAATATTGAAAATGTTGGTTATATTAGCCACTTCTTAATCCCAATGCTAGTTAATTATTTTGTCAATTCAAAGGCCATTATATAACAAGCTTAAAATATGTTTTATACATACAATTATGATATACATCACTTATACAATTGTTTTGAAAAAAATTAAAAATATAAACTTTGAATTTTAGCTGCTGAAGGGAGCCACTTAGGAACCAGTGAGTTATATATAGTATAATATTCAGATGTAGTAGACTAAAATCCAAATAAACTTGTTTCAATTTGAATTATTCATGCTCTAATTATTTGCCCTTGAGTATATTACATTTTATATGGGATATAGTTCATGAATCTATACAGTAAGGTTAATATTCATTATACCTCCCTGTGTCAGAGAATTAAGAGAGTAAATCAAACTAAATAGAATATTGTAAAAACCTAAAATTATAACAATTCAGCATTATTACTAAAATAAAAAATATTCGGGTTTTTATATATATATTTTTTAATTGTTGACAGTATTACAGATTTCTGGCCCTTTGCTCTCCTCCTTCTAGCCCCTGCTCTACTCCAAGCCTTCACCACACTATTGTCTGTATCCATTGGCTATGCATATATGCATATAAATTCTTTGGTAAAACTCTTCCTGTCTCCCTACCCCAGGCCCCTCTGAGATCTGTCAGTCTGTTCCATGCAGTGAACACTTAATTAAAGTAAATGAGTAATATAAATTATGTGAGACTAAAGAGTGTTCCAATTTAAATATTTTCTCTAATAGTCACCCAATTAAAATATTTAATCACCCTATTATGCTATCTTATATGATAAATTAATTATTTTGTTATCAATTATTGCTGACTTTTATAAAATTTTAAAGTGCTAAAACCAGATTGCATTGATTATGTCTTAAATGGTGATGAGGATAGAGACTGTGCACAGCATTGTTCTTCATGTTGTCTGTATTAAATAAAAAGCAATGGCTTAAATCAAAGACAAGTATCTTGCCCCCAAGAGATTATAGTCAAGGAAAAAACTGAATTAAATTCAAAATAGTTGGATTATAAAATTTTAATTATTGCCTTGAATGCTTGCTCTGAAATATAAAAGACTACCACACAATATCCCATGTATGCAGTGGGCATCATGCACTTTCATATGTACCAAGTTCACTAATAAAATAATCTTGGACTTTCGGCTAAGATCACATGTAGTATTTGCTCTTAACAGTTTGATATCTGATATTTTCTCTATCTGAGGACATTATATAAAATGTATTTTTGGAGCAGGGAGATGAAATAGGAGCTTGCTCCAGCTCCATCCACTCCACGATTCAACCAGTATTGCAGTATTGGGAATGGAGCACCAACAAAAGAAAGGGAAAAAAAAAAAAAAAAGAAATTACCAGTTTTGCACACACAAAAAAGATAAGGTGTCAAATTAATTAATCAATTTGCACATGTGAGAAAGATTCAAGTTGATGGGAAAACATGTAAGTTGAGAGATGATAGAATTTGTTGCAGCTCTCAGAAGATATGAAACAGATCTGTGATCCAATGACAAAGCTCATTTGACTAAGGAACAATATATGTTTCAATCCTGATTCTTAAATATTTACTTGTATGATAAAGTAACTGATAAAATGTTTCTAAGTCTCAGGTTCCTGTGAAATGGGAAGTTAACTGCTACTTCACAATGTTACAAACCTTAACAAAAGTTTCATTTTAGTATATCAACTATAAAAAACCTGCATGTCTAATTCTTTAAGGATAGAAAATATAATGATGAAGGGAAAACATTCATTAAATTAAATAGGAGATTTAAAATTACGTATTATAAAAACATGATTATTTATAATGATGAATAGTGCAGATGACATAATTGAAGACTATTAAAAATAAAATAAGACAGTCTTTAAAAAATATTATATTATTTTTTGAAATTTTATTGTTAGTATATATTACAATAAAAATAAATAAATAAAATACCTAGAAATAAACTTAACAAAGGACATGAAGGACCTATATACTGAAAACAACAAAGCATTATTAAAAGAGATTGAAAAAAAATGAAATAGAAGAATATTCTGTATTCATGAATTGGAACAAGCTACATAGTTAAAATGTTCATATTACCCAAAGCAACATGAGATTCAGTGCCATCCCCATAAAAATCCCAATGACATGTTTTAAAAAATAGAACAAAAATCATCAGATTTGTATGCAGCCACTAAAGACACCAAATAGTCAAAGCAATCCTGAGAAAAAAGAACAAAGCCTAAGGTATCACACTCTCTTATTCAAATTATACTACAAAACAACCATAATCAAAACAGCACAGTACTGGCAGAAAGACAGACACACAAACTAATGGAACAGAATTGAGAGCCCATAAATAAACCCATGTGTAAGTGGGAAAATGATTCTTAATAAAAGAGCCAGAAACATACAGTGGCGAAAAGAAAGCCTCTTCAATAAATAGTGTGGGAAAATTGGAAAGCCACTTGAAAGAGAATGAAACTAGACTACTACTTGTCCCCATACACAAAAATTAACTAAAAATAGATCAAAGAGCTAAAAATAAGACCTGTAACAATAAATTACATAGAAGAAAACATAGGTACTAAACTTGCAGGCCTTGTTCTGAGAGAAGATTTTATGAATTTGACTCCAAAGGTAAGGGAAGTAAAGGCAAACATAAATTGATGGGATTATATCAGACAAAAAAGCTTCTGCACAGTAAAAGAAACTGCCAACAAACAAAAAGGCAACCAATCGAGTGGGGAAAGATATTTGCAAATAACAGTTTCAACAAGGGGTTAATATCCAAAATATAGAGAATGCATTTGACTCAAACAAAACAAACAAATAATCCAATTACAAAATGGGCAGAGGACCTGATCAGGAGCTTCTCCCAAGAAGACATACAAATGGCCAACAGATACATGGAAAGACACTCAAATTCACTAGCTATTAGGGAAATGTCATTCAAAACTACAATGAGATACCACCTCACACCTGTTAGAATGACTACTATCGATAAAACAAACAATAACAAGTGTTGGAGAGATTGTGGAGAAAAAAGAACTCTCATTCACTGAGGGTGGCAATATAGACTGGTTCAACCACTATGAAAAACAGTATAGAGGCTCCTCAAAAAATCAAGAATAGAGTTACCATGTTACCCAACAACTTCTTTTCTGGGTATCTATACAAAAATTTTTGAAAAAATTTAGTATTTGCCAAGATATATGCACCCCTATGTTCACTGCAGCATTCATTATTCACAGTGGCTTCTACATGGAAACAACCAAAGTGTCCTTTGATAAGTGATTGAATAAAGTAGATGTGGTACATAATGTATACAATGGAATACTAGTCAGCCATAAGAAAAGATAAAATACTGACATTTGCAACATCATGGATGGATATTGAGAATATTAGCTAAGGAAAATATCAGATAGAAAAAGTTAACCATATGATTTCCTTCATATGTGGGATAGAAAACTGAAAGCAACAAATGATCAAACAACAAAAACTCGTAAACACAAACAACAATATGGTGGTTAGCAGAGGGAAAGGGGATGGGAGAATAAGGAAGGGTAAAGGGGGTCAAATATATATGGTGATGATAGAAGATTTGGCTTTGGGTGATGGGTACACAATTCAATATGCAGATTTTGTGTATTATAGAAATGTACACTTCAACTCTATATAATCTTATTAAGCAATGTCACCCTAATAAATTTAATTTAAATAAATAAAAATATTATAAAACATCAAAAATAAGAAAAAATTATATGATGTTATATTAAGAGAAAACTATCATAATTAAACGATTTAATTGTGTAAGCTATGCAAATATTTCATCTCTTCCAGATAGAAGATTTAGAAATTTCAAGGTCACAAAAGTGGGCTCATATTTGGTGTATTCAACGAATAGCAAGAAGGCAAGTGTGTCTTGGTTAGGAAGGAAGGAATTTGGGGATGAAATCAGAGTTAGCCTGATGTCAGATTAAGTTAGTTTTATAAGGTCATTGTAAGGATTAGGCTTTTATTTAGAAAGAAATGGAATGTTCTTGGGGGATATGAATAGAGAAAACAGATTATTTCTGAAGTATCTCTTTTTATTTCCTGATGTATAGCGTTAAAGGAGTCATTCGGAAGCTATTACATTAATTCAGCTGCAGAAGGTGGAAACAGGGCAACATGTCAGGAGGCTGTTGCAAAAGCTACAAGTGATGATGAGAGCTTTGACCAAAGTAGTGGCCAGTTAGATTGTAAACGAATATTGTATTTAATTGCTTATAACAGAAAATACCATATATTTATATATATTGCTACACCAAGTTTTATGGGTTTTTTGTTTTGTTTTGTTTTTTTGCTTTTTAGTTTCACACCAGGAGACTGCCCGTGCATTCACTGGGATGCAGGTTTAAGGAGCAGTAAGTTTAGAATATGAGGCTGCTGAAACTAAATGTGGATGCTCATCTTGAGATGACAGCTGGACTCTCCAGGGAAAGTATTAAGTAGGCTTTGTGATATACATGTTGTGCATGCAGAGAACAAGCCTGACCTTGCCTAGAGTTTTAAATTTAGGATAGTTAGCACATAGATACTGAGATCAATTTAAAGCCAGAATAGATGGTAAGGAATAGAGGTTCTAAGACTGAACCCTGGTTCCTGAAAAAATTAGAGGTCAAATGCAAGCTGATTTCTCATGAGAGGACACTCGACTACTTAAAAACCTCAAGTGCCACCATAAAACCTATTTTGAAAATGCTGAAGAAAAATCTCTACTTGGCTTGAGGCTGCTCTTGAACTAGTCAACTATAAACAGAGAATTGGAGTTAGGTAAAAATGTAGGAGTTCCCAATGAAAACAAATCAACATGAAGAAAATGTTAAGTTCCCAAAAGAAAATGAAAGAAGTGTGATTCTCTCAGAAAGGATAGTAAGTAACAAGGCAGGAAGAAAAACGAGTTTCAGTCAACGAGTCCAATTTCATATATGTCCCAGCGTCACGACAAAACACATTTTTCTTTTTCACATATTGTTTTCTCTGATTAAGTTTTGCTTAGTGTTAACAAGTCAAAAATATTAACAATAAAGTTAGTGTAAATCATCAATGACTATATAAAATTATTACTTGAATTTAGACTTCTCAGAGTCAATAATTGGTTGATTTCTTCAATTTAAGTGTATTTTTAATACAAGGTGCTGAAGAAAATAAGAGGAGAGTTATTCAATTTGCACTATTACTGGAATTTGACTTTTGAGGTTCTCTTTTAAGATCTATAAGCTACACACAATTCTTCAGCAATATGCCTTTTCTAGAAGATTTCAGAGAGGGGATCATCTTTGGACCACTAAAATTTTGACAGGATTATTACGAAGATAAGTTGATCTCAAGCTGGTTTTAAGTTTCAAAGTAGGGTTCTATTAAAATGCAACACATGCTCCCTGCAAACACACACATATCATGTATATTTAATTTTAAGGACAAATCATCTCACAAAATACTTAATTATTTAGTAAAGTACAAATTTTATTCTGAGCTAAAAATTAATTCATATCTTGCAATTATGCTAGTGAATATAATTAAAAATCTATATTTGTTAGATTTAATGAAATATTCACATTAATATTTCAAAAGCTGCTCATTTATTGTTTAGGACAATCTCTTTGTGATAGTCCAGTTTCACTTGATTTCTTTTTTTCCTTTTCCTTTGTTTCAGATTGTACAGATATAAAAACAAATATAAGTTTTTTCATTAATTTGCTATATCTGATTTTGTTTTCACAGTTTTTTTCTGTAGATTAGTTTGTATTACACCAACTCAATCTCATATAAGCACATTGGGTATTTAAAATATGATCTACAATGACCTCACATCATTTTTCAAGAGTTATTAAACTCAAAAAAGTATACTTAAATCATACAGTAAATATCATGTATAGTCTCATCCAGACACTCTTTTCTACTCTATTCTTAACAAAGTAAAACTCTAAAAATAAATTCAATACTTTTCACAAATCTCAAATTTGAGCAGAGTCCAGCCATTGATAGCTCATCATTGTCAGAAACTGATTTTCAGAGACGCTTCTAGCATGAATGTTTCTGATCATTTTCAACTCGATTCTTTTTCTGTTGGATTTATCTGAATTTTACATCAATAGACACTACAAATAGAAAAGTAAATGTATATCTAAAATGCCTCTCATTTTCTTTGAAGTTGATACATCAACAGCTTGAAGCTATCAGTAAAAAAATTCTAAATAAAACAAACAAAAAGCCAAGACTTTATTTTCAAACTCTGAAGGCTTCAGGGGAAAATTAAAAAAAAGGAAAGTTAACTTGGCACTTCTTGAT